TGAGTTTTCCCATCCCATTCCTAACCCCCTGTTAGGAGAAGTACTTATTCCTGCCACTTGCCAAGGAGCCACTAAACCTTGTAGCCCAAGTTCCTCAGCTTCCAATTAAAGAAAGCACGGAGACTGCAGGGCATATACACAGCTAGCTTGGAAACTCTCCCTGCCCTCCAGAACAAAGCCTACTGGAGGACTCTGAGGTCCAGAAATAACAACGACCCCGTCCTGTAAGGCAGCTGGAATTTCAAGTGGCTGGAGCTAAATACGGTGCTAGGTCAGCAAGGACCCACCAGGAAAGGGGATTATTGCTCTCCATTAGTGAGAGGAGTGTCTGCTTGCACACATTTGCCAAGACCTCAGTTTTACAAAGCACATTTCTTTTATTTCAGTGGTTTACACTTTCATTTTCACCATGCTCTTCTTCATCTCTCACTGAATATTTTCTACTTAAAAAACAAACGAGCGAACAAAACCAACATACATCAAGACGCAATTTGTCTGGCTGGTAAAAAAAAAAAAAAACAACAAAAAACAACAAACCAAAACAAACACCCAAAAGAGAATGGAGACGCACAGCCAAACATGCCATAGAGCTATGCACAACCAAACACGCCGTACAGCTGTGCAAGTCTCGCATTGCCTCTCCTCCCTCCTCCTCAGCTCTGCTGAAAGACAGCAGCTGTAATCCCCTCCAGGTGGTGACAAGCATTATCTTTCCAGCCGGTATAAGCGTGACAGCTCTGGAGCTGGCTGGTAACACGTGTTCCCGTGCTGCAAGAGGGAGAGGGAAGCTGCAAGACCGAACACGCGTGTTGAGTCAAACCAGCCAAGGGGAAATGTAGACCTTGGAAGCAGTGCAAGTGCGGGAGGTGTAATTGCCAGGGATCCTTTTCAGCTGCTTCGTTCACAGATGCTCTGGGTGATGCTGGGAGAGGCTGGTGGAAGAAAGACCTGTGACTGCTCCTCAGCCCCCCCGAACGGGGCTCTTTGTGAGCAGGCTGTATGGGTGCAGAGCCCACGCTGCCCCGACGAGGACATGCGTGAGTCACCGCCCAAACACGGAAGGTGACAAACACAGATGTTGAGTGGGACAGGTCTCACGGGGGGAACTCCCGTGATTTTGGTTTTCATGGTTTGATGATTGCATTTCTGTGTTTCATTTGATTTCTTTCTCCCTACCGGTGCTGCAAGCAGGCAACTTACTGACTAAGCACGGATGGGGTGTGATGCTGACTACGCACATCGGCTTTAAAATGAGCAAAGTCAACAGCTGGAAGAGAAGTCCTGGGAAATGCTTGCCCTTTCACTAACCCATTAAGTTCCAGCAGCGGCTTTTAGCAATAGCAGAGAAAGGTGATCTTGGAGCCAACAGACATCTTTAAAACTTACATGGGATGACCGGCTTGAGCTGCTGCCTGGCAGAGTCTGCAAGTCACCACTGTAAGCATTGTAAGATGCTTTTAGGCAGCTAGGCTGGGGTCAGCTCTTCCCACATGAGACATCTCCATCTGAGCAATTTGTCTAGACTCCCTGTGCACTCAGCGGAGAGAAACAGGCATGCTGAGAGCCTAATTCATCTCCTCCTAACATAGTCGTCTATAGCAGATGAATCACACACTTCTTTGCCTCTCTCTCCCCACTGATTGGAGTGGGAGTCTGGATGGAGGGCTCAGCGGGAGACAGCTTCACCAGAAATGTTTAAAGTTAAGTCAACGCATACCACTTCCAGTGTGTGTCTCATGCCAAGATCAGAGCTATGACTACCCAGATCGGTGTATTTCTGATTCCTTCGAGAATCGATGTGTCAGAACGCAGACATTTCACTTTGCTCCCTATGAAATCAAAATACTTCTGCACATGATTCTGTGCCTGCCTGTTGCTGCTGACGTGGAGAGACGCACGCTGCAGAGCCACTGAGCAGCCATGCTGGGCCAGCGTTCTCCTGCACGGACCAACAAGTTCTGAATAACAGGCTTCTTTCAGCAGCAAACACCTTTTTCCTGGCATCTAGAATAGCTTCCTAGCAGGCATCAGTGAAGAAAGGTGCCAGAGCCTTCACCCAATGTCCCTAGGTTGGGTTTTGAATCAAGCAGCCTGGTGGTACCTGGCCAACTTCCAAGTTGCAAGGGTAGTTCACAGCTTGAATTCAAACATTTGCTCCAAGTGCCTGGGTTAGGATGCTACAGACCATGGTCTTCACAGCCCCCGAGATGGCAGTCCTGTGTCACACTGAGTAATTGCTGGGAGACCTTGTCTCTTTACATTGCCTGGAGAACCCAGGACAAAACACCTGACGCACATGCTGAGCATTAGCAGCGTGAATCCAGTCCAGCAGTAACTTTCTCTTTGGTGCCTTTCCTTTAATTATAAATCAATGGATATAACTGTATTTTTGACATTTCCCACTCTGGACACCTTATAGAGCATTTTTGAATTAGCTTGTGGAAACCTTGGAAAGGTTTAATACAGAGTCAGAATACTGAAGAATATTGATGTCATGGGGCATCACTACAACAGGTGGGGTTGCCCTTCTTTATAGGAAGGCCCAGATCTTTCTTAACTTCTGTGTCTTGAGGACAATATGGTTGTCCTGGACTCCCTGGTGGATCTCAGCTGGCACTGTAAGCCTTTGTGAGGGCAGCTCAGCTGAGACCTATCTCTCCACTGACTACTCCACATAGACCCGTATTTCTCAGACACCTAAAATTAAGTATGCACATCTGGAGCTGAACCCAATTCTTAATTTGAGTGAAAGGAATCTTATCTCTGGAAATCAATTGATTTGCTATGAGTTTAAGAAATTAATTCTTAGAATTATAACCATATTAGTTATTTGGTTATTGCAACATGTCTGCATGCCCCTTGACAAACCTGGCACAATACTACACGCGTACTTTTTCACCATACTATTTAAGGCATTTTGTTTTCACCCTCTTTGAGTTTTTTGTTCTTTTGTTCTCCCTGCAAATTACTGATAAAAAGGACTCTTTCTGAAAGAGGAATACACATGTATGCAGCTGAGGCATGGTCAAACTTCTCCTGGCATTAGTTGGGCATTTATTCAGAAATGTATATATTGCTCCAGGGGGAAAAAAAAAAAAAAAGATATAATCTGAAAGAAAATGGTTGTTAAATAAAGTCTGCAGTTCTATCATGATTTGTAAAGTCCAAACTCTCCAGTAAATGCTTGAGCTTCTTCCAGTTGTTTGCTGCAGCAAAAATGCCCAAACCTTTTCCAGGTTAAAGGTAAGATCAGTTTAAATATTCCTGTTTTTTTCCTGCTGTTCTGCAAGGGCGAGGCACTGATCAATCCCAAATCCTATTAGCTTCGGAACAGGGCCTCGTACAAAATTGTCTGAGGGATGACTGTAAAGTGCTTAGATACCATCATTGGCATAGTAAAGGTAATCACAAGGATTTGAACTTTACTCCTTCCTAATTTGGTCAATATTACATTCAACCACTTCTCAGATACCTGACAGGTGAATTAACTGTTCTTTGTTATCTACTCGTATATCACTAGATACTACAGTGATGGGCACAGTAGAAACAGGTTGGTGGTCTGGAACAGGAAAGATCTACTGGAGTGACCTTTCTGGGTGTTGAGGACTTCCAGCGAAGTGAGGAATGATCTCAAGCTCTGCTAAAGAAAAATAGAGAAAATGGGGAAAGACTTCAATATCTCAGTCTCCTTTTCTGGGTACAGAGAAGGTAGGGTAGGGTAGGGTAGGGTGGGAAATGAATGTCCATCTCTGTGGGCTCTGACCAGACTTTGGCAATGAATCCAGATTTCGTCACGTTTTTGTGGATTGGCAATCTTTCCAGAAAAAATGGCATGCAGCAGACGAAAGGCATCCTGAAGTCACTCGGAGATGATGCCCAGCAGAGCCACAGATCACTCAAGCAGCAAACGGCATGGCTTAAAGAGTGGGAACAAGAAAGTAGCACAAACAAAACAGCCTTCCCTTTCTCCAAACCACTTTTCTATTGAAACCACTAAATGTTAATGAGTTTACTAGCCCTCTAGAAATGAGGGCAGGTAATTGCAACCTTACTCACAGGACTCAAAATCAAGATTACGACATTTAACTCAGAAGAAAAGCCAATGATGATGGCTCAATTCACTGGAGATACTGTAACATGTAATGAAAATGTACTTTAAAAAAAAGAAAGGAAGAAAGAAAAAAACCAGTTTTTGATAAGCAGTTCTAGAAGTCCAGGTCATCCTGGTCAATCTCATCAGAGTCTTCTTTTTTTTTAGAAGCCTGAGCTTTGTCAGCATGCTCATCCTCCTTTGGATCTGCACCTTCAGCATCTGCCTGGTCCTCATCTCCTAAAGCATCAGTGCATGAAGATGCTTTGTCCTCTTCCTCACTGTCAGGATACATCTGTGAGGGTTTGCTGCTCTCATCACTTTGAACCTCTCCATTGGGGTGGTTGTTCATGGGGTTGTTGTCCTCTTTGCATTCCTCTTCACCTTCATCTTCAGATCCCTTCTGGGATTGCTGTGAGAAATTTCCCATGGAAGAATAACAAGAAAAGGCGGCTGCTTTGTTCAGTCTCTCCAGCCATTTGCTGGGTTTTTTGTGTTTTGCCTTTGAGGTTTTCTCAGAAATCTTGTTGTTGCCGTTGTCTTCATGTTTTTCATGTGCTTTGTCAGGGTCATCACTGGTAGGTTCCTCATCATTCTCATCATATTTGTCTTCTCCTTCACTGCTGTTTTCGTCCTCAGCTGAACATGCCACAACTGACTCTGGATTTGCATCTTCCACTGCCTCAGCTTCATCCTGCTCAGCTTCCTCACTTCCTTCTGCAGCACCTCCTTCAGGATTGTTTTCAGTTCCAGAGCCATCACCATCTGCTCTGCATTTGGATGTCTCTTCTTCATCATCAGCCCCAATATCCTCATCCTCTGGCTCCTCTGCTTCTTTAGCTTCATTGTCAGCTTCGTCTTCAGCTTTGGACTTCCCTTCATCTTCCTGTTCTTCATTTTTAGTTTCTTCTTGTTCTTCCTCTTCCTCACTTGCTTCCTCCTCCTCTTGCTTTGTTTTTTCTTCAACTTTTTCTCCCTCTTTTTCATCTTTTGCTTCTTCCTCCTCCTTTTTTGGGTTTTCTTCCTCTTCTTCCACTTCCTGCTCCTCCTGTTTTGTTTCTTCATCATCTTGTTTTGCTTCCTCATCCACCTGTGTTACTTTTTCCACTTCTTGCACTTCTGCCTCCTCTTTTGTTTCTTCCTCCTCCTTCATGTCTTCCTCCTCCTCTTTAGTTCCTTCTTCCTCCTCCTTCATGTCTTCCTCTTCTTCTTTTGTTCCTTCTTCCTGCTCCTCTTTTGTTTCTTCTTCTTCCTTCATGTCTTCCTCCTCCTCTTTAG